AAAAAAAAAAAAAAAAAGAAAAGTTTTAGTACATCACTTATAATTCCTACACCATACTTTTAGAATTACCAGCAGAATAAATACGAAAACTTAATTATGTACCTGGTCCAAGGAACTGGCAGCCCCTAGCCCTTACTGCTGCCCAAAGATTGGAGGAGAGCTGCTGAGGATTCTGGTGCTGGAGAATGAGCTCTGTAACTGTCCGTTCACCTAAAGATCGAGCTGCCCTCATGGCACGAATCCTGCCTTCTTCTTCTACTAGTTGACAGTGGACCAGAGTCACAAGCTTCCTCTGCATTGGGCGACTCAGAACACTCTGAGTAGTGCTGTTCAGACCCACTCCTTTAAAAGAGTAAGGAAGTTATTTCTAGGTTCACAATGCAATTTTAAAGTCCAGGAGCAATTCCTCTGTTGGGTTAACTTGTGGGTATGTGAATAGTTCTGGGTCCTACTAGAGTATTTAAAATAAAAAACAAATAAAACCACACAGGTAAAGCCTACTTATATATATATTTTTAAAGTATACAAATGTATATATGAGTTATTTCATGTACACTTAACACTCATTACAACATTAAATATACCACTACTCATTTTAATTGTTGAGGAAATAAGAAAAAAAGACTAGACATTGATAATTAGTTTATAATCTAAATCTTGAGGCCCTAAGAGTTCTGGTATATTATTCCATAGTGGTTAATCTTACTTTCCTAATTAAATAGCAAGCCCTTTCTGTGCAGTTAATGGCAACTTCTATATTTATTATACCCACTATAGCAAAGCATATAAAACCGGATAGCAGGCGAACCACTCAGAGTTGTCAAATGATGGAAAGCCCTTCTGAAGTAAGTAGTTATACCTGCTTTTACCATCATTCAAATAATGTTTCCATCATCACATAAACTCAAAATTCACTACTTAATTTGATGTGGTTTGTGTAATGATATTGAGCACAAAATGAGTTTGGTTTACTAAATTTGGTTTAATAAATTTCATTAACATTCACTTAATAGCTCACAATTTTATAGTAATAGAAGTTTCTTTAGTAGACATTTACTTAGTATGGATAATTGCAACAAATTTACCTCTCGTTAGGTTTTTAGTGAACTCCTCTGGACTTCTAATATTAAGATTATGTACTGAGTATTTAAAAAAGCAATTTTACTCTTTAAATAAAAAACAAAAACAAACTTACCTCTAGCACTGCTGAGCGGTTTTAAGTACAATGCTAATTCTTCTACACATTTCTTGGCTTCTTCATAATGCTTTGTGTCTTCCACCCCACTACACAAAGTAATCGGCTGCTGCTCAGGGACCTGGAGGCCAAAAGAAAAGATCTGTTTGAGTGCTCGTTCACTAATTATATGTTTTATTTAGTATAGTTTATGTACTCACAATGCTAAATGAAAACTCCCCCTAAATTTGCAGAATTCTTTCAAAAGATCTTTCCTATTAACATGTATCTTTGCATTCCTTTGTTTTGTTTCTCTAACAGCCTAATTAAGATAAAATCCACCTACCATACAACTGACTGGTTTAAAGTATATACAATGCCATGGTTTCCAGTATATTCACAGTTGTGCAAACATAACCACAATCAACTTTAGAACCTTTTCACTACCCCAAGAAGAAACAGTACCCTTTTAACAGCTACCCCTTATTTCTTTACAACCACCCACCAACCCTTAGAAAGATGGATCTATTTTCTTTGGATTTGCCTATTCTGGACATTTCACATAAGCAAAATCAATACAATATAGAGTCTTTTCTGACTTGCTTCTTTCACTTAACAATGTTTTCAGGGGTCTCCCGGGTTGTATCGGTACTTCATTTTCATCATTGAGTAACATTCCATTGTATAAACATATCACACTTCATTTACACAATCATCAGTTGACAGACATATGGGTTATTTCTTTTTGACTATTATGAATAATGCTGCTATGAACATCTGTGTACAAGCTTTTATGTAGACAAAAGTTTTTGTTTCTCTTAGGCATATACCTAGGAATCTGTATTTAAACTTTTGAAAAACTGCCAGACTATTTTCCAAAAGCAGAGTGCATTTTATATACCTACCAGAGTGTATAAGGATTCGAATTCTTCTACATACTTATTATCTTTTTTTCTTTTTTGGACAGCACTGTCTATTGGACAATTCCAGGTCATTCCTAACACACCACAGCAGGGTATGTACAGTCTGGCCAGGTGGGGAGGAGGGACGGAGGGGGCTCACGGAGACACAGGGATGGTGGGGAAGTGAACACAAACCACTGTCTTTCCTTTTTGGTTAAAGAAGAAAACTATAATCAATATCCTGCTCATAAGTAAAAGTGGGACGGAAAAAACCTGATGGCTTTAATGTGGCATTTAGACCTCTCCTCCTCCCGTTTCATATGCACAGTTTATTTGGGTAACGCTACTGTCACCAGCAGAACACCTATAAGCAAAAACAAACGGCAGGAAGGAAAAAGTATGAACAAAAGGAAGCTGGAGAAGGCAGCCCTCGGCCCGGGAGGGGGCAGGTGTGCAGGAAGGTATGCCTGCTCTTCTTGAACTCCTGCAGCAGCTCCTCAGTCTTGCTCTCCGTGTCCTCCTTGGGCTGGATATACTGGCAGAGCTCACAGATGAGCAACGCCCCCAGGGTGGCCTCCTCGTGGTTGTCCTGGATGTCCACGTTGACCACTTGCACTAGCTGGCAGGTCTCCTGTTCTCTGGAATTCAGATCTTCCACCACCTCAAGTGAGGATCAGATCAAACAGGGCTTTGTAGTTCTGGAACCTTTCTGGCGGGGCTTGATTCGCTTATTTCTGTCCAGCATATGCAAAATGCCATTCTATGTATAGAGTTCTTTGTCTTTCCTAAGGAGATCATTGTACATCTGGCCATATGTGGTTTTGAAATCATAAACACTGGGCTTGCCGGGAGCTGGTCCTGGAAGCTTCACCTGAGTTCCTGTTCCAAAGGATCGGACGCTGACTTCTCGTTTGCTGAGGATGTTGTGCGCCTCCATGCTCTGGTTCTGGCTGCTCGAGCACACCACCGCCACCCGTGGGGATGACAGCATGGCGGCCGCACAGCCCGCGGAGATCCTGGTTGGGCTCCCACCCTACCGTGGAGCTTCCACGTGAGCAAAATGGCCTATCTTTTTTTATACAGCGATCCTGGTGGCTGAAAAGCAGTAATTCATTGTGGCTTTTCAAAATTAATAACGATTGCGTATATTTATGGGGTACAATGTGATGTTTTGATTGATACATTCACAATGTGAGATGACTAAATCAGGTTAATTAACAAATCCATCACCTCACACATTGTTTTTTGCAAATTTTAAATAAAATCTACTGTTATAGCAGTTTTGAAACATACAATGTATTACTATTTATAATCACTATGCTGTGCAATAGATCACTAAAAGTTATTCCTCCAGTCTAACTGAAGCTTTGTATTCTTTGACAATTATCTCTTCCCATCTACCTTCCTCCCCCTTCATTGTGGTTTTGATTTGTATTTCCCTGATAGCTAATGATGGTGACCATTCTCTCATATGCTTATTAGCCATCTGCATATCTTCTTTGGAGAAATGTCTAATCAGATCCTCTGTCCATCTTTCCTAATAAACTTTATTTTGTAGAACAGTTTTAGATTTACAGCAAATTGGCAAAGGTAATACACAGAATTCTCATTATCCTGTATTCAGTTTTCCCTATTAACATCTTACATTGGTATGGTACTTTTTTTTTTTTTTGAGACAGAGTTTTGCTCTTGTTGCTCAGACTGGAGTGAAATGGCATGATTTTGGCTCACCACAAACTCCACCTCCCAGGCTCAAGCAATTCTCCTGCCTCAGCCTCCCAACTAGCTGGAATTACAGGCATGCATTACCATGCCCGGCTAATTTTGTATTTTTAGTAGAGATGGGGTTGCTTCATGTTGGTCAGGCTGGTCTTGAACTCCTGCCCTCAGGTGATCTGCCCGCCTTGGCCTCCCAAAGTACTGGGATTATAGGCGTGAGCCACCGCACCCAGCAAGTATGGTATATTTGTTAAAATTAATGAGCCAGTATCAACATATTCATAATTAACAACTAAAATCTGTATGTTAATCAGATATCCTTAGTTTTCACCTAATGTTCTTTCTCAGTTCCAGGATCCCATCCAGGAGAACATATTACATCTAGTGTCCAGAGACAGAATCTTGCTCTGTCACTCAGGCTGGAGTACCGTGGCAACATCTGGGCTCACTGCAACCTCTGCCTCCCAGGTTCAAGCGATCCCCCACCTCAGCCTCCTGAGCAACTGGGACTATAGGCACACATTACCACACCCAGCTAATTTTGTAATTTTTGTAGAGATGGGGGTCCTATTACATCACCCAGGCTGGTCTCGAACTCCTGGGCTTGGCGTCATCCACCCACCTTGGCCTCCTTTTCTCCTTCCATGTTTCTCTTTCTCTCTTTTATTTTTAAATTGAGACAAGGTCTCACTCTGTTGCCCAGGTTGGAGCACAGTGGCAAAATCTAGCTCACTACAACCTCCACCTCCCAGGTTCAAGAGAGTCTCACGCAAAAGTAGCTGGGATTACAGCATGTGCTACCATGCCCAGCTAATTTTGTGTATTTTTAGTAGAGATGGATTTCACTGTATTGGCCAGGCTGGTCTCGAACTCCTGGCCTCAAGTGATCCGCCCACCTCAGCCTCCCAAAGTGCTGGCATTACAGCCATGAGCCACTGCACTGGCCCTTCCAAGTCTCTTTAAACTCCTCTTGGCTTGGACAGTTTCTCAGACTTTCCTTGTTTTAATGCCCTTGACAGTTTTGAGGAGCACTGGTCCGATATGTTGTAGAATGCCCCTAAACTGGGATCTGGGATCTGTCATTTTTCTCATGAGTATTCTGGGGTTATGGATTTTGGAAGTACGATCATGGGGGAAAAGTGCCAGTTTCATCACATTATATCAAAGATACATAGCACCAACACAACTTATTATTGCTGACATTAAACTTGATCAGCTGGTTTAGTCAGCATTTACCAGGTTTCTCCACTATAACGTTACGTATCTCCCACCTTCCAAACTGTACTTTTCGGAAGGAGTCACTATGTGTAGCCTTCACACATTCTACATCCTTGACGGCAGAGTATTCATGTAATTATTTTGGAATTCTGCATGGGAGACTTGTCTCTTTCTTCCATTTATTTATTCAATCATTTAATTTTATTGTGTAGACTCAGGTATATTTATCTTATACCTGGGTTATAATCCAATCCCATTTATTTTGTCATTCAAACTGTTTTAGCTTTGGCCATTGAGAGCTAAAACATTAGTTGGCTCCTGTGTGCCTTTGATACAGCCCCCATTACTCTGTGTATGTGTTTATGTATGTTCTGAATACTTCTCTATACTTTCCAGTACTACAAGCTACTCCAGGCTCATTTTGTATATTTGCTGTCCCAGTGTCAGAATTGGCCATTTCTCCAAGGAACTCTGGTTTCTTTTATTGGAGAACGGTATTAGAAACCAAGATATGAATGCATATTGCTATTGGGATGTTGTTCCTTCTAGGCCATCTTAGATGGAAGAGCAAGGAATTATGTTAGTGTAATAACCCGAGATGTACACATATCTATTTCTGTATCCATATCAAGCTAAACATGAGTTTATATTATGACTCCAACTTGAATCCATTGCCACATGAATCATTTGAATGTCTTCTTCCTTGCTTATCTGTAAACTTTAACAGTGAGAAAACTGGCTCCAATCGTTTGCCATTCATTTACTTAACTGTTCAATTCCAATATGTATTATACATACAGCTGCATCAGAATTAATTCATACCCCCATGGGAAAAGACTAGAGTACACTACTTACAGATAATGTCTTCCTCTATCTTTAATCTTACACAATCCACCTTTCTCCTCCACCCCTTTAGTGAAATTGTTTCATATATTTCAGATTGTTTCCCATAATCTTTGTAAAGTTCTACAGTTTTTGACAAATTCAGAGTGTCATATAGCCACAATTACAGAATCATAAAGAACAGTTTTACTGTCCTAAGCAATACTCTGTATTTCACCAATTCAATCCTCCGTCCCTCCTCCTGAATACCATGGCAACCACTGATATTTTTATTGTTGCTATGGTTTTATCTTTTATATAATATCATATAATTGGAATCATACAGTATGTAGCCTTTTCATACTGGTATCTTTCACTTAGCAATGATATACATTGAGATGTAAGCATGTCTTTTTGAGACTTGACAGCTATGTCTTTTTATTATTTCATTTTATACAATGTTCCATTGTAAGGATATACCACTGTTTATCCATTCACCTATTAAATGATATCTCAACTACTTCCATTTTTTGGCAATCATGAATAAAGTTGTTATAAATAGTCATATGAGGGTTTCTGTGTAGATATAAATTTTCAAGTTAGTTGGGTTAATACCTACTATTATGTTAAGTTCATAAAGAAACTGCCAAACTCTCTTTCAAAGTGGTTATACCATTTTTCATTTCCAAAAGAATCAGAGTTTTTTTTCTTTTTTCTTTTGAGACAGAGTTGTTCTGTCACGGAGGCTGGAGTGCAGTGGCATGATCTCGGCTCACTGCAACCTCCACCTACATAGTTCAAGCGATTCTCTGCCTCAGCCTCTTGAGTAGCTGGGTTTACATGTACAAGCCACCACACCCAGCTAATTTTTGTATTTTTAGTAGAAATGGGATTTTACCATATTGGTCAGGCTGGTCTTGAACTCCTGACCTCGTGATCTGCCCGCCTCAGCCTCCAAAAGTTCTAGGATTACAGGCGTGAGCCACCACGCCCGACCAGAATTAGAGTTTTTGTTGGTCCATATCCTCACCAGCATTTGGTGTTGCTAATGTTTGGATTTTGGCCATTCTAATTGGCGTGTAGTGGTATCTCACTTGCTTTAATTTGCAGTTCCTTAAACACAACTGCTGAGCTATTTTTCATTTGCTGATCTGCCATCTGTATAATCTGTTTGCTGAGGTGATTGCTCAGCTCTTTGTCCATTTTCAAAATTGGGGTTTTTTTTTTATCAATGCGTTGTAAGAGTTCTTTATATATTCTGTATATGTCTTTATCAGAAATACGATTTTACAATTGTTTTCATACATTCTGTGGGTTGTTCTTTTTGCTTTCTTGTTCGTATCTTTGTTTTTTGTTATTGCTGTTGTTTTTGAGACAGGGTCTCATTCTGTTGCCCAAGCTAGAACATAGTTCTGCAGCTCGCTGCAGCCCTGACCTCCTGGGCTCAGGTGATATTTCCACCTCAGCCTCCCAGACAGGTGGGACTACAGGCCTGTGCCACCACACCCAGGAAATTTTTCTTTTTTGTATTTTCTGTAGAGATGGGGTTTTGCCATGCTGCCTAGGCTGGTCTTAAATGATCCACTCAGCTTGGCCTCCCACAGTGCTGGGATTACAGACATTAGCCACTGCACCCGGCCAATATGAACGTATCTTTGAAACACAGTTTTTAGTTTTGATGAAGTTCAACTTATCTTTTTCTTTTGTTTCTTGAGCTTTTTGTCATATCTTAAAAAACAAACAAAAAAAACCCACTGCCTATTCCATGGTCATGAAGACTTATGTCTGTATTTTCTTCTAAGAGTTTCATAGTTTTAGTTCTTATATTTAGCCTTTGATCCATTTTGAGTTAATATGAATAAATGGTTAGTCAAGTCTTAAGTTTCTTTTAACAATGATTTGTAGTCTTCAAAAAACAGTTTTACTTTTTTTACAGTCATGCTCTGTCACCCAGGTTGGAATGCAGTGGTATAATCTTAGCTCACTGCAACCTCCACCTCCCAGGTTCAATCCAGTCTCCTGTTTCAGCCACCTGAGTAGCTGGGATTACAGGTGTGCACCTTCATGCCTGGATAATTTTTGTATTTTTTGGTAGAGATGGGGTTTCACCATGTTGGCCAGGCTGGTCTTGGAACTCCTGGCCTCAGGAGATCTGCATGCCTTGGCCTCCCAAAATGCTCAGATTACAGGCGTGAGCCATTACACCTGGCCTAGTTTTACATTTCTTTTGTTAAATATATTCTTAGTATTTTATTTTTTTGATGCTCTTATAGATGAAATTGATTTCTGTTTTCAGAGTGTCCATTGCTAGTATATAGAAATGTAACATATATTATTTATTTAACAAATCTTTAGTAAGGGCCTACTATGTGCCAGAGAGTCTTTCTTATATGTGTAAGAAAACTATTAGTAACATATTGTGGATGAAAGTATACAACACTAGCTGGGTATCTGGTGGCTCATGCCTGTATTCCTAGCCCTCTGGGAGGTTCAGGCGGGTGGATCACTTGAGGCCAGGAGCTGGAGACCAGCCTGGCCAACATGGTGAAACTCCGTCTCTACTAAAAAGACAAAACTTAGTTGGGCATGGTGGTGCACACCTGTAATCCCAGCTACTTGGGAAGCTGAGGCACGAGAAACACTTGAACTGGAGAGGCGGAGGTTGCAGTGAGCCAAGATTGTGCCACTCCACCCTGTGCAACAGAGCAAGAAAAAAAGAAAGATTTTTTATACCTTTGAAAGACTTTTGCTTTTTCAGACAACTGATATTTATATACTCATCTTATATCCTGTAACTTTGCCTAACTAGTTTTTTGTTCCTATTAGCTTTTCCTTTGTAGGTTTCCTAACATTTTCTATATATAAGACCAAGTCATCTGTGAATGAGATAGTTTTCACTTTTTTCCTTCTTATCTGAATGTCATTGGTTTAATTTACTTGCCTAATTGCCCTGGCTAGAAGGTCCTGTATGATGATGAACAGAAATAGTTAAGAGTGGAGTTCCTTGACTTGTTCCTGATCTTTAAGAAAAAGAATCTAGTTTTTCACCATTCAGTATGTTAGTTGTGAGTTTTTCATCCATGTCCTTTATCGGGTTGAAGAAGTTTCTTTCCTAGTTGTTTCAGCGCTTTTATCATGAAAAGGTATTCGATTTTGCCAAATGCTTTTTTTGTGTCTACTGAGATGATCGTATGTGTGCAATTTTGAAATGTTTATTGATATAGTAAATTACTAATTGATTTGCAGATGTTAAATCAACCTTACATTCCTAGGACAAATTGGTGATAATCTATTTTAAAGTCTAATTTATTTTTCTTTCCTTTTAGATGAAAGAAAAAAATAATTTTTAATTCTGATACTATATACATAACACAAAATGTACCATCTTAACCATTTTTAGGTCTGTAATACATTAAGTATGCTCTAACGGTTCCCAAACGTTGTGCTATAGTTTTGCCACCTTTTTCGTCTTTCATTTCCGTTAACGTCTACTGAGTAAAGCTGCCTGACGCAGCTGCACCTTCCCTACTGAGTAAAGTGTAGTGGTTTTATAAACAATATTTTTCTCAATGTTAAAAGAGGTTCTTATTACTTACATCTTAGGTTTTTTTTGAGCCAGGGTCTTACTCTGTCACCCAGGTTGGAGTGCAGTGGTGTGATCTCGGCTTACTGCAATCTCTGCCTCCTAGGTTCAAGCGATTCTCGTGCCTCAGCCTCCCGAATAGCTGGGATCACAGGTGCACACCACCACGCCCAGCTAACTTTTAAGACAGGATTTCACCACATTGGCCAGGGTGATCTCAAACTCCTGATCTCCAATGATCCACCCACCTCGGCCTCCCAAAGTACTGGGATCACAGGCGTGAGCCACCACACCTGGCCTTAGGTTTCTCTAGTGATCTGCATAGCTAGGTTTATTGAGTATCTGACAAGATTAAATGGATGTTACTGTGCTATGTCTGAAAGGCACTGGGCTACCTACCACAATAAATTCAACATGCTGAAATAAAGGGTTTGCAGTACCAAACAGAATTATACCTATTTAAGTAGAAGGCAATGTTACCCAATTTTAATTCAACAGGTTTCTCTCAGGACAAAAACACACAACACACACACACACACACACACACACACACACACACACACACACACAAATTTGAAAGTATTAAGTCACCCATCTTACCTGAGCACCCACAAGCTGCAGCAATGCTGAGTTCACAGGGAGGAGCTCAATGTCTGTATTGATAGTGGTCTGGTCAAATGGGCAAGCCTTGCGGTGGAGTTTATTTAGGCACATCTTGCAGACAGTATGGCCACAACCCAAACTGATGGGCTTTCGAATTGTTTCGTCGAAAGTCTGAGTGCAAATTGGGCAGGAGAGGAAATCCGTCCATTGTGGAGCTTGTACAGGCATTGCTTCTGGAGTTACAATTCACGAACACAAACACACACACAAATCTAAAGCAAAGATTCCACTGGAATCAAAATCTTTGAAAAAAAGTTTATCTTTTTTTTTAAATATCTTCTGTAGATACAGTCAGCACATAGTGTGAAATATAACCTGGAAAACAAACAAAAAAAAAAAAGGGAAAAAATTGCATGTCTTTCTTTCCAATTAAATTGCTGAAAAAGAACCACGCATCCAGTCTTATTCCACAACTTTTTATACCATATTTGTACCACTGTAATCCATCTTTTTACGCTTTCACAGATTTGGAGCCATGATAAAACATCTAGTTCCATTCCCTCATTTTAGAGATGGGAAGTAGTACCCTGCCTGAGGGGACACTTGAAATTAGTAATAAAGTTAGATCCAGGACCCAAGTCTCTTAAGTTTATTTAAGTCTCTCATTTTAAAAAATAAATATATCTAAAACTTAATCTTGGCTGGGCACAATGGCTCACGTCTGTAATCCCAGCAATTTGGGAGGCCAAGGCGGGTGGATCCCTTGAGGTCAGGAGTTGAAACCAGCCTGGCCAAACATGGTGAAACCCCATCTCCACTGAAAATACAAATATTAGCCGGGTGTGGTGACAGGCACCTGTAATCCCAGCTAATCAGGAGGGTGAGGCATGAGAATCGCTTGAGCCTGGGAGGCAGAGGTTGCAGAGAGCCAAGATCATGCCACTACACTCCAGCTTGGCTGACAGAGTGAGACTCTGCCTTAAGAAATAAATAAATAAATAACTCTTTTTAAGGAAACTAGTAATATTGTGTTTCTTGACCTGGGTATCATTTACATGGGTTTCGTTAGTTGTGAAAATGTATCAAGCTCTTCACTTACGTGCACTTTTATGTATGTTCCACATCAATAAAGAGTATTTCTTTGTAAACGGCCTAAAATAAAAAGTACCTTAAATACTTTATCATCAAATTTGGTGGGAGTAATGAGATAAAAAAAGACTATGGGTTTATTTTTAAGTTTCAGATATTCTTCTGAGTTTTATATACTGGTAGATGTCTCTTTTAAGTTCCTTGTGTGACCTATACTTCTTTGCTACAGCATGTTTTAGAACTATATTGACTTCACAGCCATTCTGTTATTACGGCAAGCTTGGTCAAGTCCTTGTTCTGATCTTTGTCTTCTCAACAAGATATGAAACAGATGACTACTCCCTCCTTACAAGTTTTAATGAACCACCCTCCCCTCCTCCATCCTTCCTAACTCACTGGCTATTCTTCTGAAAGCTTAAACTTAAAAATGCTGGAGTCACCAGGGTGCTATCTTGAGTTTCCTTTTCTCATCATGCTCCAGCTTAAAATCCTTACATGGCTTCCTATTATATTTAGAATGAAATTCAGATTTCTTTTTTTTTTTTTTTTTTGAGATGGAGTTTCGCTCTT